GCTCAAGAGATCACAAACCGACTGAATTTAAATTAAATGGAAGTCTGAAACTAAGGTTCTTTATCTCAAAGGGAGGAAATTATAAACTAGGGAAAATAAAGCCACGTGCACGTGAATGTAGAGGAGAAATCAAATTTAAGTCAAATGTGCAAAAACCAAAGCTCATATTTCAAGTTAGCTGGACAGCAAATTGCTGGGAGTAAGTAAGGATAAGTGACCTCAAAATAGATTTTCCTTACCAAGTGCTTTCACTTAATGTCCCAAAGTTACCTTCATTTCAACAAGTTACTCCAAAGCCTGTTTCTCTTCTTGCTCTCAACTCCACTGCACCAGTGCAGCTCCTCTAAACAATATTGAGTCCTCCTATTCAAGTTTAGATATATGCCATATTGACATTAGGTGTTCCATGAACACAATATATATTCCTTAGGAACTAATGAATATTTAAAGATAATAAATTAAAAATATCATAATTTAAATCACAGTTTGCATTTGAATATATCTTTAGAACAGAATGGAAGTTGGTCATATTCTGGAGAAAGAAAAGAGAAAGGAAGCCTGTTGGACACATAAGTAAGATGGGGTAAAAGTGTAAAATATGAATATTAAAATACATCAGTGAAGGTGATTTAACTACTTTGTACCTAAAAATGTACTTAGTCAAATCTGCATCACTTCAGTTTACCTCCACTGTGCAATATTTTCTTTAAAATAATCAACTCCTGATTTTGAGGAACATACTAACTATTGCCTCAGATTTTAAAAACAAATTTCATTTAAGATTTTTAAAGTTATTAATTATATAAATATAAATATACTAAGAATATATTTTACTGGCAAATGCCATTAGATTTGAGAGCCTATTTAAGGGTCTCTGGCAAGTTTGTGACTAAATGAAAATATTAAGCCTGTGAATTTGAATATGTCATAAAAAATAAAACTCAAAGCTCTAATCTCTGTTTAGTTTTAACCATAGGAAATTAAAAAATAGGCTAATTAGTCTACACATGTATTTACAATCTCTCTGTATATATATACTAAATTATATAAATAAAACCAAAGAAAATGTTCCACTAATACATAAAATGTGTATAATTTCATGGGTTTTAAGTTTCTTTGGCGGATGTCTTATCACTTGTAAGAGTAACTGTTTCTTCATCTAAAAGAGATGAAGGATTAAGATAGGCTAGTAATGCCCGATTAAACTAGCTTAACATTTTTGTAAACAAAGGAACACGAAAAAGGTTCAAAAGTTAAAAGTTCAATCCACATTCAGCAGACTTACTGCAAATAATTTCTGAGAAATATCATAGTGGAAATTGAAGCAAAAAATGATAAGAGATAAGCTGAAAACCAGCTGTCTGCATGATTCTTTCCATGCTAAGTACGTTAACAGATACATAACATTTTCAGGATTTTTTTAAATCCTGTAACATTACATAAACTTTTGAAAGACACATATGATTAATATGATAGAAAGGCTGAAACAACACCTTCCAAAATTCCATCAAGAAATATTTGGGGGGGGGGAGTGGGGTTGGAAAACATTCCTTGGATGTTATTTTACCAGATTGGAAACATTGATGATATGCTGAGAGTACACAGAGAAATTATGACCCATGCTAGATAAAAACCTATTATGATAACATAGCCCAAATACTAACAGCTGAATCCTGCGCTGTTAAAGGTAATAAGAGTCACTGATTTAACTGGGAACAGGATCAAGTCATAACATAAAACCACCTGCCTCCACTAGAGTTGGCAATCAAAGATGCCAAGTTCCAAAGAATTTGCCTCTTTTTACATATCATTTTGCCAGCTTCTCTCTCAAACCATGCTCATCCTCAATCCTGATAAACGGATACAATCTCATTACAGTACTTGACAAATAACTGTTCTAATACAGTATGAAAACAAAAATGTTAATTCCTTACTTCACAAATAGACTGTTATATATGAAATATTTTAAAGATTTATAACTCTGTTAAAGCTTGTTATAGACTACCTATATTTTCCTGACAGAAGTAGGTCAACTATATAAAGTTTTCTGAGGTTCTAGCATTGTTTCATTATTTTGTGTTATTTTTTCCTCTCTTATATAGTAGGATCATTTACAGCAGTTCTTATAAAAAAAAAACAAACCCAAAAATCACATTTCCCTGAGGGTGGACTAAGTAAACATAAACCCTTTTTTTCATCTCTGGGATAACAGTCCCAATTGAATGCCCTAGATTAAATTATTTTGCTTTTCTGAAACGTGCTAGTTTGGTGGTTCCCAGAGGGCAGAGGCAACACGCATCAAAAAATAAGAAACACATTGGTATAACTGTCTTTCAGCTAAGAAAAAAAATTCTCCTTCCCTTTTTCCCCTTCCCTCCATACTCCAGCATGCTTTTTTTTGATACTCAGCAAACTGGGTATCACTGTCAAGACAACCTGTTAAAGCTGTCTTTTAACTTAACCTATGTATAAATACAGAATTCCACTCTCAATTGTGGAAGGGTAGCAAAGGTATCAGAATTTAATAAGAGTTCCAAGCAGGAAAAGCCACTTGACACTAAGAACTTCTCTACCATTATAAACCTCCCAAAATAGTTATTCTGTAGAATTTTTTCCAGAATAGTTATCGCAATGTTATCTCCTTTAATTCCAAAGGAGAAGTGCCTTTTTCTGACTTAGTGTTGTAAAAATGCAGTATATTGAAACATTTAGAAGAGAGAAATCTCATTCCAGAAAATACTCTTCACGTATGAGCTCACATACAATTAACTATTCAATAATAACGGGTTTGGTAATGATACAAGTATAAATTTTGCTTGAGTTGATTAATAATACCAAGTAATAGGCTATGACATGTCCACAAAATGAAAAAAAAAAAATCCTATGTAACTTCACAACTCTTTGCCCTATTTTGCTCTAGCCCGCTGACTTCACTATTGTCACTTTATTGTTTGGCTGCCTCCAGTCTATAACCACAGATCATCTAGAACAGTCTGATTCTGCAGAAAACTAGTAAGAGAGACTGCAGGAGAATCAATGCTTGCCTCCCATATCAACATCTTGAAGTAAAATTATATGAAATACTATACAGTGAAGAGATGAAGACATGAGCATGACAGCCACTATGAAGAAAGTAATTTTGAGGATTATATTAACAAACACCACTTCTAAAAACATTTTATGGGTGCTAAGGGGACAGCTGCTGCTCCTGCAAATCTGACCTTTAATACATTTTGAATTAAAATAAAAACCTTCTGTGTAATTTATGAAATACAGAGGTTTTTTTTTTAAATTAATTGCAGCGAACGTTTTAAAAGTTGCAAGCAGGTCCCAAGATTTACTTTGTATATTTTCATTGTCCTCTGTTATTTTGAATATACAATAGAACTGTGCACTGGAAACCTGTCCTGATAGATGTGCTGGCACAAAAACATGTAAAGACACATCTTGTGGCAAAGAAAATTTAAGCAGAGGAATTACTATCTTAATAGAATGAAGGACTGTTCTCTTCTTTCTTGTAATATGGAAGCAGTTAATGTGTGGGTTTTTTCGAGAGCCACTGTTACGGTCACTTTAATCTCCATGTCTTAGATGTAAAATGGAGGTAACTGAACTTCCCCATCTTTGTGAGCTGTTTTGAGATTGAAAGAAAAATTAAGCTACAAACTTCCAGTTGCCAACCAGTCTTTTTTTGTTAGTGAATCCTTTCACTGACCCCATCTCACTGTGTAACCTGAAGATACATTTCTTGTCATTTATTTCATAACTCAACATTACTCTGACACTACTTCTCGTTTCCCACCAAAACTCCATCCTACTAATATATCGGCTTTATGTTGAACTCGTCATCCTTTCACATTATTTGTCTGCATGCCTGTTCCTTTACCTTGTTTTACATGTTCCACATATCCCTCCATATTTCAGCTCCTATTGGAAAATTATTTCTGCATTTCTTCTAGTGGAATTTCTAGCTGACTTACATTAACACGTATATTGAATTTAAAACTCACAAGAGTATAATTTTCTTCTGCGTAGACCTGGCAAATCGTCATCTCACTCATCCTTTGTGTATGTAGTACAACCCAAAGACCTATCTTCTTTATGTTTCTGTATTTTTCACATTATTCTAAACTTTTTATATTTTCTGTCTGCAAACTACTTCACCGTTACGGAAGGCTATGTTTTAAACAAACAGCTCTTGCACAGAGGAATGCTCAAAACTCTGCATTGAAAAAGCAATTACATACAATCATGCAATTATGTTATGAACGTTTCCATTCTGTATGATTTTTTTCTAAAGCTCTGATTCCCCCCTTTGGAAATTAGCATGTCAGACTCACCAACTGTAAAAAGAAAGTACAGAAAATACCACATCAATAACAGATTCCTTTCCTGCCTTAAATTCCTTAGAACAAGAAGAAATGACCAGGTAGCATTAACTCTAACTTACCGTACTTTCACAAGACTGGAAAACTTAAATGATTTTTTTTTTTTTTTTAAATTACAATCTGCTTAGTAATCTTTTGGGTCAGCTCTGATGTATGAATCTGTGTCTATTTAATGGTCACATTATTGTATGGACTTTCCTATAATCTCCTTTAAACTTCTGGCAATTCGAAAAAAGAATTTTTTCTTTTATAGGGTAGAAGACTGAAGAGTTTGTGGTTTTTTAAATCTGGATTAAATAGTTCTTATTCTATTATATATTTCAGCAGTTGGAATAAGTTAGACTGAAAAAAATTACTATGACAGGGCAATGTTATCCAGTGAATTATAATGGGGTTTCTATATACATAAGCATAAGATATTTTCCCTTACTTTAAAACTTTTCATCACAATTCTGACCCAGTCTATAATTCAACTGCAGTAAGATGGTTAAAACATAAAGCTCTAATTAATCATCTCAGGCCTCTCTCTTCATAGGAAATAATCAAGTATATTGAAAAAAAAGTAGAATGATTAAAATAATATCTAACTACAATGAACATAAAATAAGGCTACTAACCCACAGCATGAACTGTTCCTCTATGCTTCTTTGAAATCTTGTTTGCCTTAACTATATGTAGAGCATTTTCTTTGAACTGCAGCTCACAAAGTCTTTCAAGAAGAACTGTCATTTCTTCAGTGATGGTATCCAGATAAGTTTCATTAATAAACTTCAGTGATGAAGAAGGATCAATAGTTCCACTGAGTATATACAAATCCTCTTTTATCATTGTGCACAATGTGGGTATGGAACTTTCATAACCATGAACCACCTTATCAAAATTTGTTTCACCACAACTAGATAAAATACAGTTCTGTAGAAGATCGCTAACCAGTTTATTCCGCATATTTTGATACTTCATTAAGACTTCTGATTCAGGATAAAGAAACAAAAGTTGCTGTATGCACTGAGTTTTAAACTTCATTTGTTGTTGTAAAGCATTAGTACTTGTTTCTTCTTGACTTTGCAGTCTATTTACTAAAAATCGTCGAAGATGCAATCTTACATCATCCCAGAGAGATTTCACATCCATAGTTGAATCATCCTCAATGGCATGAAGGGAAGATGTTAACTCAAAAGACGTCCCACTTGGAGTACAGGGAAATGAGACACCACACTGACTAGACAGATCCAGAAGGAAGTGAAGTATCATTTCTTCTTGATTTTGCTCATTCTTCAGCAAGCATTGCTAACAAAGGGAAATCAGACAGTATTTTAGAAATGTTTTGTTAATTCTGGTTCATAAAATGAACAGCTTCATGCTAGAGTACCAATTGTTTACAATGCTCATTATCTTATCAGCAAATAAGAGACTCAAACAAACTGCTATATAAACAACAGACATAACAAAGCCTGTTTTCCCATGGATTTATGTGCCAATCCATCCCCTCATCTACCGGCTCCAATAATGCACACTCCTCTTCCCATCTTTCTTACACCCTCAACCTCTTTTCTCAATCAATTCTAACCCACAATTCAAAGGAAAGCATTGGAAAGCTCATCAGGTAGCCTTGGCAGCCTGTTTGTTGTGGTCCACACACACATCTTTGAAAGAAAATGGTATGAAAAATTACTCAAGATTTACACAGATAATGACAGGTTTTGCTCATAAAACCCAGACAGGAATTTATAAAATGAAACATTGTTGCTTTCTGTGTTCTAGCTCAGCAGGCAACCATCAAAAAGGCCATTCTAAGGATAAAATAATCTTCCCTTAAAGAACTAAAATTGAAAACTTGTTAAGAATTGAACAGGCTTAGATCACACAGGGCAGAAGAATAAGAAGCTGTGTATCCTGTCAAACCAAGATGCAGACTGATACATTAACAATACAGCGACCTCTAAAAATATCTCAGCTACGTGGGTTGGAGAAGAAGGAGGAAGCCAGTTAACAAAGCAGGTGAAACCACATGAATGCATGCGCTGTTCCTACTTCATCTGAGCCTGAAGAGCTCCCTCTTGGTCCAAGGCCAGGATCTCTGACCTTAGAGCTGCTTCAGGTTCAAGAGGCCATGCAGCAAACAGCAGGTCCTCTTGTCACAGCTCAATGCTTTCTACTTCGCCCAGAATGACACAAATTTAAACAGCACTCTGCAGCTTTCCTTAATATATAGGAGACAAATCATTTGCATGAACAAGGCGTGTCCAATATATGAGTAGAAGACAACCCCAACGTCCCATGGTCACTTGACACCAAAACCTCCTTCCTCTCTCAGAGAAAAAAGCTTGCCTGTTATAAACCTATTTCCCACATCCTCAACATTTTTCCTACTGCAGGTTGGCTTTGGCCACAGTCCTAGGCCCATCAACTTTTTATCTGTAAAGACCTGCTCTCAATCCTCCAGCTGCACTAGAGCGGACTACGGATTTCCCCATCACAGTCACAATAAAACTGAGTGAAATTGGTAGTACTCTTGATTTTCTAGGTTTCAGGAACCAAGTAAGCAAGCCTTAGGTGAATCAGGATCTAGAAGCCCTCTCACATGCTCCCCCACCTCCTATTGCTTCTCTCCAACAGAGAAAAGCATTGTGGCAAATGGCATAAGGGTAGTTCTTTCCACCTATGTCCTTTATCTGGGTCTCCCAGCTATGCTCCATCCTATAAAACAAGGCTGGTAAAGAAACTGTCGGCAACCTTCCACCTTCAGAACTACTAATTTATTTAACCTACAGTATTTGAGGAAATGATTAGTTTTATTTCTTTTCCCATTTTGAAAAAGAGAGAAATAAATAAAATTTGAGTATGGTATTGCATAAATATAATAATTTCCAAATATAACATGCTCAATTTTTGTACTGTAGCAAGCTTTTATTAATAGCTAATTTATAAAAATATAAAAAAAGACAAAATTTAGAAGAAAAACTTCAGTGGGGTTTTTTTCCTCCCCTCATGCTTTTGAGTCACAAAAATTTTCAGTATCAGAACTGCTGTTCTTTGTTCTGGATGATTCAAAACTGTTGCACTCTTACGGGAGAAAACAAGAGTTTAACCTTCCTTCCTATTGCCCTCTACTCTGGAGTGCTCCATGATGAAAATTAAAAAATAAAAGACTTGCACCACAGTAGCTAATTCTGAACAAAAGATAGAGAGCATGATTGCCTCCCATAAAGAAAAGTGTTAAAAATAATAGACTAGCTATTTTTCTTCCATTTTACATCTTTATTTCAGAATGCTTCCTATAAATTTTTTTACTTACAAGCAGGAAACACATGTGGAAGACAGAATAATAAAAAGAAATTATCAGTCAAGTATCATCCTATAAAAGCATGTGTATGTGATAGAAATATGTATAACTAGTTAAAATTTTAAACCATACATAGCAATATGCATATACATAAGGCTGATTTGATTTTCTTTTATTATCTACTGAAGTATTCTATAAAGTTTTGTGGCCTCAAAGTGAATGTGTCTCAGTGCGTAAACTTAAACCCTAATCACTAACCACTGTGTTGAAGAGTCGAGTCTCCACAGGTAGACTACTGGAGTTTAAAGGTTAATTTTTTTTATGAATCATGCCCAAATACTACATTCTGAAATGAACAAAACAAGAGAAGCTGTCAAAACAGCGAATGTAACTGATGCCTTTGGATGATGAATCCAGAATGTCTTCCAAGCAAATCCCTACTGCTGTTTTTTAAGGTTAAGCAGAAACATTTTTATTCATGAAAGCCAGTAAGAATCTAAGTATTGTTTCAAGCCCTTTGCAACTTAACCTAGATCATTAAAAATAGGGAGCTTGCAGATGCCATCTTAAGACTTAGTGTTACTCAGAAAACGAGCCCCTGAAGTGAACTTTGAAGCTCCGAAAACACAGCGTCATCAAGTCTCTTTGAACATTGCCTATATTGACATAGGCTTTTCTAGTTAAAAATTAACCTGTAAAAATACTTCAAAAGATGATGCCAAAACTATTCGAGAGAAAAAGATCCAAATTAGTATCCAAAGGTGTTAGAGAAGCATGAAAAGTTCTCTTATGAGCACAGAAAGTTAGTGACAATAATACACAGAAAAACTTCTGCAGTCTGCAAGCTGGACTACTACCTATCATACCAATAAACAAATCCAATAAGATGAAGATTTTGTTAAAAAAAAGATTTTGTCATTAGTTTAGCAGGAACAGAATTTAATGAAGATGTGTTCATATACATATTCAGCTTTTAAATATTTAGAATTACAAAACAGTACACAGAATGACAAAACTTCACATAATTAACATGTTCAGGCTTCATGAAGAACCTCTCAGTATTTCCATGACAGTTCACAAATGCATGAGAATACCACACTAACAATAAACCTAAATACACCACCTCAGCCAAAGCACATACAGAACTTTGCACTATTTTTTTAATTGTTCCAGCAGCTTAAAAGATAAACAAAAACCCTAACAAAATAAACACACATAATAAGGGATAACAATGAATAGGGATATTGTCCTGAAATAGAAGGAAGGTTACTATTATTGAAGATGTATTATATGATACTTAATTAAAAGCTTGCAAGTGAGAAATTAAGTCAACTGAGTAATTAGTTCAATGGATGGAGACACACATTTAAGAAAGGTCAGATTGTAATAATCTCATTAATGCTGAATATTATTGGAAATAGTTTACTGCAGACCTGTTTATGGAGCTAAAGATTATCTACTGCGAGTAAAACTTCTTACAGATGGATTGTTTATGCTAATACAGATACATTTTTCATCTGTAGTCTCATCTACACAACAGACTGGATTATCTAAGAAGCCATGAGCCTGGAAACAGTGATGTCCAAGTTCCTGAGCTCCACAGATGTTTTCCTGATAAGCTGTGCAGAATTGAGACTTTAAGGCTTCTCACACTTTGCTGTCTGTCTGGCAGCCTGCCACAGAGCCACTCTCAAGGCTTAACTGGACTCTACAGCCCACAGCCAGACTGTCATGCAGTCAGTAAGCTCCTGGGAAGCTGAAGAGCTAGAAAGCACATTTTGGATAAGATATACCCGAAGTATTCCAGAGATGGGACATTTTGGTGTTTCCCAAACAAATGCTGCCATCTGGTGTTCAGGTATATGGCTTGAATAGACCTTGGAGAAGGAAGAAAGCAGGGAATGGACACAAGTAAGTCATCGTTGCCATGCCCTCTTCCGAGGGGGTTTAAGTAAGGATCTAACTGGACTAAGACGAATAACAAAAGACTTCATAATTCAGCATTTTCTGGGATTCTCTCATTTTCTCTAGATCAAGTATGACATGTAGCAGTCTCCGACACCCTTGAGTGGGGTGATTATTAACAGCAACATTCATACCGATCACCTGTGTCAGAAGGGGACAAAATCACTTCTTCACCACATGAACATTAAAGACCTGGTGTTTCTAGAGATGACTTCCTCATTTGGCACAGCTTAATATCCAGTGGATTCAAGGGTGACTGAAAGAACAACAACCAGTTTTAAAAGTTAAAAACTGAGAGGTGATCTGATGAAGCTTGAGCTCTAGCCAGGAGACAGTCCCAAAGGAGAAGATATTCCACTTCTCCACAGCAGTTTCCTCTGCAAATACAGCCAATCTTAACCTAAAGGTGTTCATGTCCTACAAGTAAACCATGACATGGAAGTGAGAAAGAACAATCCACTGGATACTGTTTATTTGTTTTGATGCTCAGACAGATGTACGTCATATAAACACACATATACATAGTTTATATATAAACTTGCAGGCTGTCATTTACTGAGGTATCATCCTTCACTTCTCTAGCCAATTCAATTTTCCAGATTTCCATTTCCACACGTAAATTCTAAGGTTAACTTTTAATAAAAATTTTGGATAAAAATGCCTTCTAAAATGATGGATTTTTCCGTTGAAGTGAAATTTGGTTTCTGGTTACATCTAGTTGTAAAACTTGCTAGGACAATGGATGTAGCTCCCACATTTCTAATTAGAAAAAGTAGACAGGAAGTTAATGCTTAAATAATGCATAAAGGACAAGAATCTGTATTAGATAAGTTAAATTCATACTGATACAATTGAAGAACAAGCAGTAACAGCAACATCCTCAGTATAGACAGTAACTTTGGATGTTTTTTACCAACATGTGTTTATAAAACAGTCCTAGCACTACTGAACATGTGGTAGTATCGTGAAAAGATTTTGTCCCAAGCTTGTCTAGTTAAGGCATGATCAAAAGGAAACATAACCCTCTGCTGCGGACATAAAAACAGTACTAAGCCTTATAATAAAATTTCTGAACTGTCCTCACCACAGTGAAGATTGAAATGAGAAAACTAATTAACCTCAACCCCGCCCCTCATATAACCAACTTTCCCAAACATTAAAGTCTTTAGTAAACAATTTTTACCAGGGTCCTAAGGAACTCCATCAGCTCTCCGTGCTGTGTAGAAGAAGGTCTGAGAGAACTAAAATTGCATTTATTTAGCCACTGAAGGCAGTCAGTTGTGCTTTGCAGTATCTCATCAGTACATATTTCATTTACTTCTGATTTCAGGTCTTTAAGACACTGTTCTATGCTAAAAAAAAAAACAAAAAGAAAAATCACAGGATTTTTTTCATGACTTGGAGATAAAAGCATTTTATATATTCCATATTTTAAAAAGAAAAACTACTTCAAATTAATATAACACTAGTTCTTCTTCTTCATAGATTAAATTACTCTCACAAAATAAGGCCTGAATTTGCAGGATTAACATTAGATACAGTCGAGCTAGAGCAAAAATAAATTTCCTTCAGGCCAGACTGTACCATCCTCACTAAGAGTAAGTACTAACTCACTTCGCAAACAATGTTTTACTTTTTAATAAAGTAGTTAGTGAATAAGACGTCATCCAACCTAAGATCTGGTCCTTGGTGCTTAATTAGCTAAAGCAGAAAATATAAACTAATCAACTACCATATTCAAAGGTGAATGTGTCATTTTGCTCCTTTAGCAATCAGCAGTTGTTTTATAATACATAACATATATTAACGACTTCTTCAAGACCCATTGACATAACAGAAAATGCTGAGAAGAATTTTAGAGTCAGTTGTGCTGAGAAAGCAGATCTTTTCTTTCTTGTTTTTGTCATTAGAATATTTGAAAGAAAACAGAGTTTGTTTTCAAGGAGCTGATCCACTCCTTAACATCCATCTAGAATCATAATCCTGTTTATGAAATCAGATGTGGCTGGTATGGTTATTACAGGGATTTCAACTGCAAAAATCACAAGAACTGAAAATCCAAAATGATTTTATTTCTATTTGTGTGGACACTTACATGAAAACAAAAAAAAGAAAAATCCAGAAACAATCTGTCTATCTTTTCCTACAAAAACACCTTTTCAGTATTTCAAAACTCCTGTTTTTTAAAAGCAATGCTTAATATTTTATATAGTTTCTGTTAGAAAAATAGTATTGACTAGATCTAGGCAGATCTAGGTTTAATACAAACAGAGCCAAGAATAAGACTGATGCCAGTGTTGGTTTATTGAAGCGCAAAGTGATTCTCACTACTATTTGAGTTTTATTTTGGAGTATATCAGTTAATCCATTTATGTTCTTACAGCTGATAAGGAATGCAAGGCTTAACACAGATTAGAATTTAGTTCTTTCTATCTCTGTAGAGTTACAGGATTAGATGAGACTCAGCTGTTTACAGGTATTTCAATGTCAGATACTTTTGATATATTAGTTTCTATTTTCATGACATCAGCCAAACTACAAACTTGCCTATTACACTGCCACTTGCCTCACTGTTTTATAGAGATGAAGTATGGCTATTTTTCTTTAACTGCTCTCTAGCATTTTCAGACTTGACTAGCTTTGGCAAAAGAAGACAAGAGAAGAAGATTAGAAAAGAGGACAGGAAGAGGAGAAAAGGAGAACAAGAGGAGAGGGCAGTAAAGAAACTGGGAAACAAAGGAAATCAAGTGTATTACAAGCTGTGACAAAAATACCAAATTAAAAGACCTCCAATTTAAAAAAAAAAAAAGGATAAATTTTTTTTTTATTAGTAACCTTGAATAAAGTTTTTAATTTTTTTCTGCATAACTTCTCTGTGTGGAAAGATTAATTTTCCATGAAATGTCATCTTTTGGGAGGAAAATATTTTTATTAAAAATATAATCTGCTTTGAATATGAAATTTAAAAAAAAAATCTTAAACACTACTAACCCGTATCAATTTGTAATAAGAAATCAGTGACGAAAGGCCATTCTGCATATCACCCATTGACTACGCTTCATCATTTAATTCTGCCTGCAGTACTGTTTTCAGGATGTGGAAGAAGTATTTATCTGATTTTCTACTGGATTTTCTCCTTTATTGAGTGATTTGCATTTTATTCTTTTACAGATGTTATGCAATGTACCCTAAATTCCTACTAGCTGTCTCATTCTGATCAACAGCAATAAAGTAAATCAGTGTCATCCATACCTTTGGGAACTGAGTCTGTTAGTTTGAATTGACTTTTTACAAAACCAGCAGGGGGAAAAAAAAAAGTAAATGATCACACTAAATTAAGTTCAGAGATAAACAGTAGTCTGCATTTTCCTTTTATTTTTAAGTTACCTACAACAAGCAGAAAAGAGAGAAGCATATTTTTTTCTGTGAATGCCATCAAGACTTTTAATCTATGATAGGTTTTGCTTTGTGCCTTTTGTTTCTTTAAAATACAGTACTAAATAATAAGCTGGATATCAAAACTACATCAACTACAATTACAGAATCCAAGTACGATCATAAGAATATAAGTGCAGAAGTGTAGCATTTTGAATGTCAGAAAAAAAACCATAAATTGTTTCCAAAACTATGACTATACAACTTCTAAAAAAAAAGTCATCAAAATGAGTAGGTAATTTTGAGCAACTTATTTACCCATATTTAATTGTATTCATTAAGAACTACAGGTATATTTGTTTTATGCTTAAAAGACATGAGGTAAACCATTCAAAGTGTATCTACTCTATCAAAATGAAGTCACCACATTTTACAGCTGCATTATCTTCAGAAACCAAATTCAGTGACTACAACTAATGCTAAAATACATAAAAACTTTTGAAACTTATGAATACATGGGTGGCCTGTAAAACAGTTCCATAAATTGATGCAAAAGTCTTAAGACTTTCCTGAGCATGACTGAGTTCAAAATGAAGTGCACTGAAACAAGTACCTTCCCATCATCAAAGGACCTTATCACGAGCACAAAGGACCTCCATGAAAAACAATCGCTCTCTGCCTGTGGCCCACTCAGGTTCCTGATGGGATAGCCCAGCCATGAATACCAATACTAAACTTGACAAAAGATTGGCATGTATCTTTTTAACTTGTGAAACCTGTTCTCAGGACTATGAAACTAAATGCCTTGTTCAAACACCTTGACTCCTGGGACACTATCAAAGGCTTTTATTGTGGTGTGCTGATGAGCCTCATTCAGCATACCCAATAGATTACAGCATTGTACATTGTAAAAGGGACTACTGTTGTTAGCCTGTGCCAATCTGCTTCAATTAGGAACCAGTTTTTACACACATCTTTGACACAGGAATCTGTGTGCAAGCCAATAAACTACAAGCTACGAATAGGCTACAGCCTTCTCAAGACCAGATATTTTGGTAATTTGTCCCAACACTGATAAGGGGATTAGGTGGATAAATTTCAGTGGCCCTCCCTGTAGGTACAAATCATGATAAGTCTGTTCATTTTATTTAATCCTTTTATTCCAATAAAGTGAACATTGAATTAGGACTAAAACTGTTTTTTATTGAACAAAAATATTTTCATCCTGTTTACTTACAGCATACTCTAGGTAAACATGGTCTCAAAACCATTGCTATTTCTTCTAAGATTTTTGTCAACACTTAGTATTACATGAACATGGTTAATTATAGATACTTATTCCTTTACATGAATTACATCATTAAATGAAATATTTAGCAATTTGGTTACCACTGAAAAAAAAAAAAAAATTTTGGTGTGTATTATCTGAGTTTTGAAAGCAATCATTTTCAATAAATGACTTCTACCAAATAGGATTAAAATTATTCTCACTGTGTAGGCTAGTATTTACAACTATAATTTCACATCAGTGTAGGGAGAACGAGACTTTGATTTCCTTTTTTAGAAAGGAAATTTGCTGAAGTTTTAAAAACTGTAAACAAAATATATAATTTTGATGTGAAAAATGTGCTTAATGTAGTTAACAAATTTTATTCTTAAAAGTACCAAAAGCCATATGAAGTGCTAAATTCCTTTTTTTCTCCCAAATAATCCTTTTTCATTGAGGTTTAACTGCAAATATATTTTAGTAAGTTCCTGTGTTGAACAAATTGAGGCATCAACCCAGATGATGTCAACTAACACTATACATGTACGATGGGAGCGTAAAGTGTCTTAAAATCATGTCCAGTCAATGGAAAAATACAGCCATGTCTGTATGCAACCCCATCTAAATCAGGACTACAAAATCTGGAGCGCAACAGGGAAATCAGACATAGTTCAGTTCTTAATGCTTTCTCCCTGTTTACTATCATTAACTGGTTCTGTGTTCTATATGTAAGTTTTCTGAAACATCCTCTGAAACTCTAAACCTTAATGATAAGGTGAGGCATACAATTCATGTTTTAGGTGCTCAGGTACCAATGGTGAGACATTGCTGATCCTAACCAGGAGGTGCTTAATTCCTCTATTGGAAATTAGCCTACTGGTACTCCATTAGAATAGTTGTTCCTGGTCAGATGGAAGGTCTCCATCTCTCTGACAGTGGTCATTAGGAGATGCCAAAGAAGAATTAAAAAAACACAAGAAAAAAAAAGTTAAGATTTCTCAGAATATTTTCATTGTCTCTAGCAGTTTGTGATACAAGGACTTAAATCAGATATTGTCCTCATATTTAACAGCCCTCAATTAATTTTTCTTCCACAGATGATTCCACTTTTCTTTGAAATGTTCAGACATAAACAGAAAAAAACAGTCACCAAACTACTAAGCAAGGAGTGGAATATAAAAGCTCAAAGAAAAAATTAACCTTTCTCTGTAGCAAAGAAATCTTATAGTTATGCTCATAAGGATTTTTGTAAAATTGACCGATTTTTCAAGAAAGAAATCTGTACTCCCACACAAAGAGTACCTTTAGCCTTTGTGGGGACATCAACGCTTGCGGTTAGTACTACTGGTATACCATTATGCCAATGAAAACGATTTCACTGAAATAGCTTCTCCTTTTCACAGGTGAAGGTTTTTGGTTTTTTTTTTACACACAAAGCAAAGTTCTGTTATGTTATCTGTGTCCACACTGGAGTGCTTTTCTGGAGTAGCATGTCAATACCATTTGGTAAGTATTCCCACTGTAGAGAGACAGTCTCAATTTGAGAACTCCTAGGTGCTTTTATTTATTAAGTTAATGACAGTTTTTAGGAATAACCTAATCATGTGGAGAGACTGCTTTCTAAGCAGCTGCATCAAGGGACAAACAGTTACAAACCAAGTACTATAATGGAACTGATAGTGTAAGCACTGTCATACTGATACAACATTA